CCAGAGTCGCCACAAACTGTAATCAAGGTGCCTACTGGGCTGTGATCTCCCCCACGATTCAACATCCTTCCAAATTCACGTGGTTGTCGGCAGAATTCAGCTCCGTGCTGTTGTAGATCTGGAGTCCCGTGTGCTTCAGGGCTGCCGGCTGGGGGCCGCTGAGCTCCTAGAGAGCCTGCAGCCCCTGGTGGGCTGGCCCCTCCGTGGGGAACCCACTGTTCACCGTGCTGTGCAATGTGGAAGCTGTTTGCCTCCAGGCCAGTAGGAGAATTGGGGAAGGCTGAACCCTCTTACACAGGACTCACTTGATTAGGCCAAGCTCATCTGCAATAATCTTCCTTTGAATAACTCCAGGTCAAGTGATTAGAGACCTTAATTACATCTGCAAACCCTGTCACCCTTCCCACCTACTGCAACCTACTTGAGAAAGTGAAATCCTATCACAGCCCAGACTCACTGTGCTGAAGGGGAAGGAGGCACACAGGGTCAGTTTAGAATTCCACCTGCCCACACTTCTGTCTGGGGGAAGGCATATTTTTCTTTTCCCTGTGTTTTTCTATCAACCCTGGCGGACCTGACAAGCCCTGGAACATGTGCTAAATGTTTCTTACCATGCTGTTGATCTTCCTAATAGCTCAGCAAGGTATATCCCATTGCCCCATTTTATAGATGAGAAAAGTGAGGCTCACGGTGGGGCAAGGCATATGAAGGGGAGCCCACTGCGGGGTGCTCTGGGTCAGGCCCAGTCAGAGAGAGGCAGAGCCTGGACTCAAGCCTGTTTCCTGCCTCTGAGCTTGCGTAGACTCCACCCTGCTGCTGGTGCACTGGTCTCCTCAGCTGCCCAGCCTGGGACCCACACCCTGCCCCCCAGGCCAGGCGCTGGACACAGGACATGTGAGTTGACTGCGGCCAAGCTCCCTGGAAACAACCTGGATCACTGATGGTGCCAACTGGAGTCCAAGAGCACCTTTATGCCCAAACAGTGTCACTTGGACACACTTCTCCACTCACATGGGAGACCCTCGTGGCCTGCTTGAACCCCTCTATGGACGGGGAGCTCTCTTCTGCCTGAGCTGGCCTCTCCCATCTCCGGAGAACCCTGCTCAGGAGAGAGTTTGGCCCCACACTGGGCCATAAACCACCTCCTCTCAACTCCTGGGCTCCGTGGCAAAGGTGAGGATGATGCGGACTGGCTGGGCACCCTTGGGATGGTGGCCTGTGTGCTGCCCAATCCTTGCTAGACCTGGCTGGGCCTGCTGTTCTCTTGAGTAGAGATGGTGATCTCTCTATTGAAGGGAATGGCAAGATGCAGCCAGTTCCCTTGGGTTGCTGATCATTCCATACCCTTGGGATGGTGACCACCCCTCTCTGAGCCTCAGCTCCCTCACCCAAATGAGGGTCCAACCTGGACTCGGCCGATATTTACCCCTGGATGAACCAGTGCAGGGAAGGACGTGGGCTCCAGGAGAGTGGAAGCAGCTGTACTGGGCGGAGTCCCCTTGCCTCTGAGTCAGAAGAGGGGGCTGTGTGACCCTGGGCAAGGCTCTTTCCTTCTGTGTTCAGGGGAGAGCCTCCAGGGACCCCAAAAGGAGTGTGATTTCAGCTCCAGTCCCAGGAGCCCCTCTGGAAGGGCCTGGAACACTCCTGGAGTTCCCTGCACCTGCCCAAGGGAGTTTCCGGAGCCCGTGCAGTGGGCGCTTGCTAAACGTGTGTGGGAAGGTGACTGAGTTAACCCGGGGGTCATGGCCGCCTCCCTCTAAAATCAGGGCAGCTGCTTCTGGGCTGTGAGCCCATTGGCTGCATAGGGCTGGGCAGGTGCCCACTGGACATCTCTTCATCTCATGCCCACTCTGCTGAAGGGGGTTGTTGTTGTGGCGGTTGTTGCCTGGGAACCAGCCTCCGATTGGCAGAGCAGGGCTGCAGACCAGTGGGCTTAGGCCTCAGCCAGCCAAGCCCGGACCTCCACCCACCACAAAACAAAGGGACTGGCTGCCTGGTTCTGCACACCAACTCCGTGCCCCTCGTTTCCCAGGCGTTCTCTCCTCACTGTTGGAACCTCGGGGGAGGCTTTGTCTTTGGTTACAGATGAAGAGACGAAGGGTCTGAGAGGTTAAGCAAGTTTGTTACTGGAAAGGGGTCCCGATCCAGACCCCAAGAGAGGTTTCTTGGATCTCACAGAAGAAAGAATTTGGGGTGAGTCCATAAAGTGAAAGCAAGTTTATTAGGAAAGAAAAGGAATATCAGAATGCCCGCTCTGGCCGGGCGCGGTGGCTCACTCCTGTAATCCCATAACTTTGGGATGCCGAGGCAGGTGGATCACCTGACGTGAGAAGTTCGAGACCAGCCTGGTCCAACATGGGAAAACCCTGTCTCCACTAAAATACAAAAAATTAGCTGGGCGTGGTGGCAGGTGCCAGTAATCCCAGCTACTAGGAAGGCTGAGGTACGAGAATCGCTTGAACCCAGGAGGCGGAGGTTGTAGTGAGCCAAGATCACACCACTGCATTCCAGTTCGGCCAACAGAGCGAGACTCCATCTCAAAAAAAGAAAAGAAGAATGGCTGCTCCATAGGCAGAGTGGCCCCAAAGGCTGCTGGTTGCCCATTTTCATGGTTATTTCTTGATCATACGCTAAACAAGGGTTGGACCGTTCATGAGTGTTCCAGGAAAGGGGTGGGCAATTCCCAGAACTGAGCGTTTCTGCCCTCCCTTCTGAGACCATGTAGGGAACCTCCAGATGCTGCCATGGCATCTGTAAACTGTCGTGGCACTGGTGGGAGTGTCTTTTAGCAGCTAATGCATTGTAATTAGCACATAATGAGCCATGAGGACAATCGGAGGTCACTCTCATGGCCATCTTGGGTTTGGTGGGCTTTGGCCGGCTTCTTTACTGCAATCTGCTTTCGCGGCAAGGTCTTTATGACCTGTATCTTGCGCCGACCTCCTATCTCATCCTGTGACTAAGAATGCCTAGCCTCCTGGGAATGCGGCCCAGCAGGTCTCAGCCTCCCTTTACCCAGCCCCCATTCAAGATGGAGTCGCTCTGGTTCACGTGCCTCTGACAAGCTGGCCTGGGCTGAGTGTTCCCTAGTGTGTGGTTGTTGGAGCTGTTCCTAGGAGTAAGAAGTATTGTCAGTAGGAAACAGGCCTCTGTTAGCCCGGGGGCTGGCACTCTGCCCCAGTATGTCGGCCTCATTTTAGTGGTGACCAAACTGGGGCTCAGAGACATCGACTCCGTCACCCCGAACCCCCAGACTGTGAGTGGTGGGCTGGGGTTTGAATGTGGGGCTTGAAGACCCATCATCTCCTCTGGTGCCCCAGTCTCTGCTGCCCAAGAGGAACAGGATCCCAGGATCCAGGCCCCTCATGGCACCAGCCAGGGTGGGTGGAGATGGGGAGGCACAGTTTCAAAGCCCCCCGGACTCTGAGGCAGGTCGGGGGCCGAGAGCAACCCGGACCTGCGGCCCCCACCCCGAGAAGAATGGCTGCAGGCCCGGCCCAGCGGGCAGGAGGTCTGTGTCCTCAGCAAACGTGATGGCGCTTCCCGCTGCTCCAGCCAGGCCGAGCCGTCTTCATGTTTCCAATCATGCAGCCTCCAATTCCCAAGCCCAACCCCAACCCACAGAGACAGCAATCTGGGGTCCACGTGAGGTTTGTCAGCAGCTCTGACCCGCTGCTTCCCGCCAGCCCCGCAGCCGGTTCTGGAAAGCTCTCTGCTGCCCCCTGGTGCGGAGGCTCGGGGCAGGGCTCTGGCTGCAAGTGTGGGGCTCCCCTGTGGCACTCCCAGAACCTCCTGGCTCTGTCACCTCTGCTGGGTGGAAAACCAACCCAGGACTGAAGCAGCGGATGGGTGCCTGATTCCTTATTATCAGAGCTCCGCTCACTGGCAAGTCTCTCTCCGGGCCTCAGTTTCCCCTTCCATCAAACGAGGGGCTGGGGGGATACCAAGGAGGGGTAATGGCTTAGTGAGGATGGGAGGTTTCTTCTGGGGAGATGAAAACATTTTGAAACTAGATGGCGTGAGTGGTTGCACAGAATTGCGAATCCACAAATGCCACCCCATGATTCGCGTTGAAATACTTAATTGCACGCGAGGTGAATGTCACCTCATTTAAAGCGTTTAAAAGAGGGGCCTGGGAGAGTGCAGTGTATGTGAGAATCACGTGGGACACCCACAGTCTCGGAACCTCGGTTTCCTTGCCGTAAACTGGCAAAGAGACCATGTGAGCCATGTTCCCCGGGGCCAAGAGATTCCAAGAAGGAAAACCTGGGACTCCTGGGACTGGGATGAAGGCTGGGGGCCGGAAGGGGAGGGGTATGTGGGGACGGCTGGGGGGCAGCCCAGATAAGACTTTCAACACTGGGCAGCAGCGTCCACACAGGCAGTCTGTGTACATCCCTGCATCTCACTTCCCAGAGGCCTGACTCGTGGCCAGAGGTGGGACTGGCCAGGCTCGGCCCAGCCAAGTCTGGGAGCAGAGGACACTGAGTGAGGGATCCTCGGGGCCACCCTCACTGGCCTGTGGCTCTCCTGACACCACAAGAGAGGTCCAGGAGCTGACCTTGGGTCCCAGTGGGGGACACCTTCCTGGCAGCAGGCTGGCAGGGTGGTGTGGTGGTCAGTGTACTGGGCTCTGTGTCTCTGCCCCTACCTGCTGTGTGATGGTGGCCCAGACACCTAACCTCTCTGTGCCTCTACTTCTTCAATGGCGAACAGGGGCACTAGCAGCCCCCACATCCGGGCACAGTGGCCTGAAGATTAAAGGCAAGGGTGGCACGAGAGCTACAGCAAAAGCTCTGAGCAGGGAGCTGCCCAGGGAGTTCCACCACCATCTCCCCTCTGGCCGCCAAGGAAACCGAGGCTCATGGTGACCTGGCCCAGGTCTGTTGGACTCAGGGTCCTTCTCATCCCCAAGATCAGAGGGCTGCCACCAGGGAAGGAGCTGATCCCCAGACACAGCCCAGGAAGCACACCAGGGAAGGATGCGCTGGGGACTTCGGTATGTTATTGCAAAAAAACAAAAAACCATTTATTGCTATTTGAACGCTGCTTTCATGCCTCCATTTCCCAGAAAACGAGCCATGGGAGACACCAGGAGAGGCAGGAGACCACCCTCCTCGCACAAAACCCACTCCCTCGGATGCTGTCCTCAGCGAGGGTGGCTGGGGGCCAACCAGGGGGCCCACCCGCAGAGTGGCAGAGGAGGCAGGTTGACCCTGCGGACGTTGAGCTCTGTGGCGAAGGTCCTGGCCTTCTGGTAGAAGAAGAGCGACTTCTCGCGGTCCAGGAGGAAGTTGTGGTAGATGGTGGCCAGCCGCGTGTAGATCTTCAGCTGTGCTTTCTTGTTTCCCAGGTCCACGGCGGCTGCCAGTGCCAGCTGGTAGTACCCGGCTGCATCGAATGGGTCCTGAAGGGGACAGGCCATGCTCAGCAAAAGGGGGACTCAGAGCCTGTCTTCCCAGAGGCCGTTCCTGTCTCCAGGTCGTTCCACATGTCCAGCCAATGCTGGCTCACCCCATGAGCCCCGAAGCCTGTGACACTGCTGTGGTCTCGGCTGCAGGAGGTGGGGATGACCCTGACACCCCTGGAAGCCTTCCTGACTGTCCCTACGCCCCACTCACCCCAAGCCTCCTGCCCCAGTCCCACCCTCTCTGCAGGCAGTGGCTGCTTTCCCCATGGGAAAAGGTCAGGGCAGATCCTGCCTGCTCTGAGAGGTCCATGCAGGACCCGTGGCTCCAAGCCACAGCAGGGGCACAGTGTTGAGTGACCCAGGCTGTCCTCTGGCTCCTGTCCATGCTGACCATTTCCAGCCCCTCCACGGGCCAGGCCAGGTACAAAACTATCTCACAGGTGTCCTCTCTGGCAATGTTCCCTGAAATATTGACGGAGTGTGACTCCTCAGACATCCACTCCCATTTTCAATGCATCTTTGGCTCAAACTCACCATCCCTGGGTTGGGATGCCATCTCCCAGACCTCCTCCTTGACCCTCCCATCCCCCAACCAGCTTCTCCCCAGGCACCTCCTCCACATGGGGGTCACCCGAGGGACCTCTCTAAGACCCATGCCTAGCCTGTCCCCCTTTACTATCTCAAGATGGCTCCCAGGGCCAATGACAAAGTCCAAGATGCAGCAGTCCATTCCCTCACTGTCCCGCCCCACACACGGAGCAGGGGCGTGAGAAGACCCCGAGTCACCGCCACTGCTCATCCAATGCCCCCCGGACCAGCCGAACACTGGACTCTGCGCTGGGTGCATGGCTGAGCCTAACGTCCTTGCTCCCAGTCTGAGGGACCTGGGAGTGAACACTGACCACACAGGGTGGCCCGGGCTGTGGCAGAGGGAAGCCCAGGAGCCTATGGGGGGCCCAGGAGGCCCCAGACTCAGCCGGGGGTGGGAGGCAAGGGCTTCCTGAAGGGGTGGGGGCATCCCAACAGGAAGCAGCCAGCCAAAGCATATGTCTCTGCGTGTGCCTGTGCGTGTGTGTGTGTGTCTGTGTGTGCACGTGTGTCTGTGTGTGGTGCCTGTGTGTGCGTGTCCCTGTGTGTGTGCCTGTGTGCACGTGGGTCTGTACGTGTGCCTGTGTGTGTGCCTCTACCTGTGCCTGTGTGTGCGTGCCTGTGTGTGCGTGTCCCTGTGTGTGTGCCTGTGTGTGTTTGTGTGCCTGTGCCTCTGTGTGTGTGCCTGTGTGTGTGTGCCTGTGTGCATGTGGGTCTGTGTGCACGCCTGTGTGCCTCTGGGTGTTTGTGTGCCTATGCCTGTGTGTGTGGCTGTGTGTGCGTGTGACTGTGTGTGTGCCTGTGTGCACGTGGGTCTGTACGTGTGCCTGTGTGTGTGCGTGTGTGCCTGTGTGTGCGTGTCCCTGTGTGTGTGCCTGTGTGCACGTGGGTCTGTACGTGTGCCTGTGTGTGTGCCTCTACCTGTGCCTGTGTGTGTGTGCCTGTGTGTGTTTGTGTGCCTGTGCCTCTGTGTGTGTGTGTGTGCTTGTGTGTGTGCCTGGGTGTGTGTGCCTGTGTGTGTGTGCCTGTGTGCGTGTGGGTCTGTGTGCGCGCCTGTGTGCCTCTGGGTGTTTGTGTGCCTATGCCTGTGTGCCTGTGCCTGTGTGTGTGGCTGTGTGTGCGTGTGACTGTGCCTGTGTGGGTGTGCCTCTGCCTCTGTGTTTGTGTGCCTGAGTGTGCATGTGCCTGTGCGTGTGTGCGTCTGTGTGTGCCTGTGTGTGCACGCCTGTGTGCGTGTGCCTGTGTGTGCGTGTGCCTGTGTGTGTGTGCCTGAGTGTGCGTGTGCCTGTGCCTGTGCACATTTGCATGTGCATTTCCATGTGTGCAGCAGCTAGTAAGTGGCAGGTTCAGCCAGGAGACACCTAATCCACCCTATTCCAGGGCTCACTCTCACATGTAGACTAAAGGGGACCCCATTTTAGAGGCAATCGGCAAAGATGCCCATTTGCCCCTGCCTCTCCGCCAGCCTTCCAGGCCCCATCCAGCCCGGCTTTCTCTCCCACTCCTCTGGGCCCTGGGTCCAGAGCCTCCTATACAAAGAGGAGGGCGTGGCCTTTGAAAGGCAGCCGCCCTTGGGGAATTCCGAGGGGACCTCCTGTGGGAAGCTGGCCTGCGCTGACAGCATAGTCACGATGAGGCCCAGAGGGCTGTGCAGGGGAAGGCGGTGAAGGAGGCCTCTGCCCCTCGACCCCAACCGTGGACTTTGGCCTCTCAGGTATTACTTGGCCCTTTCCTTCCTCCTGGGCAGGCGGAGTGGGCGGCAGGCTTCACCAGGAGAGATAAAGGCCCCTTCTGGGAGGCCCGTCCCCCTGGGTCCCAGGCGAGCCCCTGAGCGGTGAGCAGCGTCCCTCTGGGGCTGACACCTGGCACCTCCCTGTCTGGCTGGGACTTGGGAGGCCACAGGGACTGCTTCTGACCACCAGGTGTCGCCAGCACTGGGCGGGGGCCTCCCGGGCAGCCCCAGGCCTGCGGTGGGGGATACGGGGCGGGGTCTTAGGGCTGCCCCAGCTCCTCATGTTGTTCTAAGGCCCCCAAGATCTCGGTCCCTGGACTGGCGTGCCCTGGCCCCTCAGCCCATAAGGAGCACTGACGCGGTGCCGGTGCGATGCTAGGAGGGGCGGGTGCCTGCTGGGCAGAGGGGTGGAGACACCCCAGGTCCGAGTCTGCCAGTCCCAGCTCTCCAGCCCTGCAGGGCTGGGGTCAGAGGGAGCCCAGGTCCCAGCACCTCCCCTCGAGACAGACCCGACCCAGCAAGGCCTCAGCCCGGCTGGCTGGGGCCCGGCCCCACTGCACCTGCCCTGAGCTGGGGTTTCCGTCTGTGAAGCAGATGGTAAGACACCGGCCCCACCCCACCCTTCCTGGGTGATGTGAAGATTCAAGGTGTCTCGGGACTCCAGGAAGGAGTTGCTCAGTGCGGGCTGGCACCCTGGGCAGGCTTCCTAGAGGAGGCGCTGGGATTTGGGTTGGATCTTACAACGTGGATTCCATGTGAGGATGATGCCGTCCTCAGAAATGTCCTTCTCCCCACCCTGTTTTCTTTGTTAAATGCAACTTGACACTTGACTGTCAAGACTCAGCTTTGGTGTCACCTCCTCCAGGAGGGCCCCCCTGACTACAATCCCCCTTCTTTACCCAGAGGCCACCATTGCCCGCTCATGTGTCAGCCTCCCTGGCTGAGACTGACTTCTTGAGGGTGGGGCCTGGCCATCTTGGGAGCTGGGTTGTATCTACTAACTTTGCCGGCTCCTCCAGCTGGGTGCAGAGCTCCAGGGAGGCCACTGAGCCATTCCTAAGGAAGGCTGGAACCCAGGCCTCTGGGGTCTGGGTGGAGATCCCACTCCAAGGGGCTGGGAATACCCCAAGCCCTGCACCTCCCCACCCACCTTCAGGTCGTAGAAGATGATGTCACCGAGCACCAGGTACACCTTCACGTAGTAGAGGGTCTCCTCGTCGAACTCCAGCGGCGAGTTGCAGAGCGACAGGGCCTTGAGGTAGAAGTGCTCCGCCAGCTCGCCGTGGCCCAGTCGGTGGTGCAGGGCGGCCAGCCGGTGGTAGGCCACGCGCTCGTTCAGCCGGTCCCCTGGGGTGCAGGCCAAAGGGGCAAGTGTGAAGACGTGGCTCCCTGGGGCAGGCAGGGCACAGGCCCCTCAGGAGCAGGTAGGCAGACCCCGGGCAACAGCTGGCTTGCCTCCAGGCACCTGCGGTCACCTGGGCAGCTCTGGCCAGTCCCTTCCAGGTTCCCAGACTCACTTTCCCATCTGCAAAGCAGAACTAATAAGACCTGCCCCCGTCTACTGTGAGGCTTTGGCAAAGTCGGACTTGGATGGCCCAGCTCTGTGCCTACACGTAGCCACCTGCCTTTGTTCACCGGTTTTAACCAGGGGAGCCCAAAAGCCATGCAGTCCAGGTGCTCCCGGGCACCAGGGCTCCAGGCAACCCACAGACATGACATCCGACTCCTCCTGGGTGTGTCATGATCAGAGCCCCCTACCTTGGGGAGTCACTGCGTGCCTGAGCTCCAGGTCCCCCCACAGATGCGCAAACCCACCCAGGCTGTCTCCGATGTCCTCCCCTTTCCAGGGCGAGTGCCGTGGAGCCTGCATTCGATGCATTGCCACACAGCTGCACACCTACTGCGTACTGGGCCCCGGGCCACAAGGCGCTGGGGCATGCAGTCTGCCCAGGGCTCCCTGTCTCTGGAGGAGGACAGACGACCCTGGCACAGCACCAGGGGATGCCCGGCCTTAAGGGGCAGGCTGCTGGAAGGGGAACTGGGATTTCATCAGCCAGAGAGCTGCGTGGTTGATGAGGGTGGGAAGGGCACAAGAGAAAGGGAATGTGCCACTCAGTCTGGTACATACAGGGACCAACGAGATGCCTGGCATGTCTCGAAGACAGAGGGCACACTGGGCGGCCCTTGTGGTCAGCAGCGGGAAGAGGCAGAGGAAGCAGAGCTCAGCCAGGCAGGGAGCTCTCCACTGTGTGAGAGACCTCGGGCTGTGCCCCACGGCCGGACGGGGAAGCCAGCTGGGCAGATCTGCCTGCCTGGACAGGAGACCAGGAAAATCCAGCAGCTGTTTCAGCTCCTGCACTGCAGACCTGGAGGCTGGGCTCTGGCAAAGTGTGGGTCCTGGCAGGGCAGGGGCTCAGGGGACTTACCCAGAGTGATGCTGAGTGCTAGGGCCATGTGGGCAAACTCCAAGCCCTCCTGGGGCTCCTCCAGCGTGGCCAGCAGTGCCACCAGCTTGTTGCACAGCCGCAGCTCCGCCTTGCGGTTGCCCGTAGTCACTGCCAGGGGCAGGGCCCGGTCCTACCACACAGGCAGGTGGGGTCAGGCTTCCCGCAGCACCCACCTTGCCCAGTACCCTCCTCAGAGCTTGAACATGTGCCTGGAGCTTTCCACGCCCCAGCTACCCCTGGACCTCGACACAGCTCTGTGCTCTGGGATAACACACAGTTCAGACACCCAAGTTGGGGGCTGAAGAGTCACCTGAGGCCCATCCAGCTACACGGGGCAGCCTCAGACCAGCCTCTCCCACCTGGGCACCGGGGTCTGACGGGGGAGCCAGCACTCCTCTCTGCTCTAAAAACACATTTATCCGTGCCCAGGGCTGAGCCACACCGTGAGCTCAAAGGGAGAAGCCGTCCCCACTTTGGGGTGCAGGCAGACCTGGGCCCTGGCCCTGGGCCTCACACTGACATGCTGTGTGTCCTTTCACATGTCCCTGTGCCTCTCTGAGCCTCAGTTTCCTCATCTGGAAGATAAGGGCAGGACTTCCCACTCATGGTTGCTTGAGATCATCAGGTACAAGGGTAGAGCCACTGTCATGTCCAGGCCCCGAGCGTTTGTCCCGGGTAGGGGGCATGATCAATATCATTCCCAGTGAGACCACTAGGCAAGGGTAGAGCCATTGCCATGTCCAGGCCCCAAGCGTTTGTCCCGGGCAGGAGGCACGGTCAATATCATTCCCGGTGAGACCACTGGGAAACTAAGCATGGGCATGGGTGGCCCTGCCTTCAGGTGGGAGGCCTCTGCCCTGCCACACCTGTGCCTCAGCCCTCCAGGTGCCCCCCGAGGCCCACCCACATCAGCCCACAGGCCAGCTCACCCGGTAGAAGGACACGGCTTTCTCCCGCTCCCAGGCCCCATTGAAGAAGATGTCTCCAGCTGCCTCAAACAGCTCCAGCCCCAGGTTGGGGTCGCCTGTGTACAGGGCCACATTCTGTGCCACCTGAAAGGAGGCAGAAGTTCCCTCAAGACCCACATCTGGCGAGGTGGCCACACCCACCCTCGCCAGCCTCCTTCCTCTCACACACTGCAGGTACACCTGAGCATTTTTCAGACCCTGTGCATTAGGGCTGTCCCCACCACTGGCATGAGGACAATGAACTGATGCTCCTGAGTGCCAGGAGGTGACTGAGCAGCTGCAGCCCAGAAGCCCAACACCTGTGAATCCTACCACCAGGGCTAGCCCTAGCCCACTCCCCCTGCACTCAAACCAGTCTCCGTGGCCCCCAGATTGCTGGGAGCCCATCCCCTGGCTCCTGTCTGCGTTGCCACATCCCTGCCACAGCTCAGGGCTGCACATCAATAGTGTTTGTGGGTGGGCCTGGTCCCCTCTTGGCCATGAACTCTTGATCCCTCTCCTCAGCTCAAGGAGGTCTACAGCAGGTGCTCAATAATGAAAGCTTCACCAGGCTCGTGGGCTTCACAATTTGTTCCAGATCACACTGTGTTTGGGAAAGCCTCTGGAAACAGCCGCTATGATAGATGCATTTTGTAAGCAGAAGTGTCACGTATCACTTTGAGCAAGTTCTTCTGTGTGTTAACTGAGTGGCCACATTATTTGAGCATGTGCTGTATACCAGCAGGTGCTTGGCACTGTGAGGGGCCACGCCTCTGCCCTCAGGGAGAAGATGCTGGCCACTAGGGGAGGATATGAGGGAACCAGTTGGAGGGAGGGAAAAGGCATACAACAGGTGCTCAGCAGTGGCTCAGGAATGAGTGGATGGATGGATGAATGGATGAGCAGAAGTATAGACACACGGATGGATGGATGGGTGTGTGGATAGATGGATGCTTGGATGGATGGATGGATGGATGGACGGATGGACAGATGGATGGTTGGACGGATGGATGGATGGATGGATGGATGGATGGATGGATGGATGGATGGGTGGTTGGAATGATGTGTGTATGTATGTATGTATGGGTGGGTAGATAATGTATGGATGGGTGGAGGGTAGATGATGTATGTACATATGGATGGATAGATGGGTTGATAGACAAATGTATGGATAAACAAATGGACAGATAGATGAATGGAGGGATGGATTAATAGGTAGATTGGTGGGTGGATGGATGAAGGATGGATGGACGAACAGGTGAATGGATGGATGGGTGAAAGGATGGATGACGGAAGGATGGAGGATGGAAGGATGGATGGATGATGGATGGATGGATGATGGATGGATGGAAGGATGAACAGGTGAATGGATGGATGATGGAAGGATGGATGGATGAATGGATAAATGGATGGATGGATGGAAGGATGAACAGGTGAATGGATGGATCATGGAAGGATGAATGGATGGAGAGATGGATGAACAGGTGAATGGATTGACAGACGGGTGAATGGATGGATGATAAAAGGATGGATGAGTGATGGAAGGATGAATGGACAGATGGATGGATGATGGATGGATGCAAGGATGAACAGATGAATGGATGGATGATGGAAGGATGGATGGATGAATGGATAAATGAATAGATGGATGAATGATGGGTTGATGGAAGGATGGATGGATGATGGATGGACGGATATATGGATGAATGGATAAATGGATGGATAGATGAATGATGGATGGATGGAAGATGGAAGGACGGACGGATGATGGATGGATGGATGAATGGTAAATGGATGGATGGATGATGGATGGATGGAAGGATGAACAGGTGAATGGATGGATGATGGAAGGATGAATGGACGGATGGATGAACGAACAGGTGAGTGGATGGATAGACAGGTGAATGGATGGATGATAAAAGGATGGATGAATGATGGATGAATGGACAGATGGATGGATGGATGGAAGGATGAACAGATGAATGGATGGATGATGGATGGATGGATGGATGATGGAAGGATGGATGGATGGATAAATGGATGGATGATGGAAGGATGGAAGAATAAACAGGTGAATGGATGGATGATGGAAGGATGGATGGAAGAATGGATGGAGGGATGGATGAACAGGTGAATGGATGGATGGACGGGTGACTGGATGGATGATAAAAGGATGGATGATGGACGAATGGATGGATGATGGACGAATGGATGGATGAATGGACAGGTGAATAGATGGATGACGGATTGATGGAAGATGGCTGGATGGATAAAGGATGAACAGTTGAATGGATGGATAATGGAAAGATGAATGGAAGGATGGATTGATGGATGGACGAACAGGTGGATGGATGGACGAACAGGTGGATGGATGGACGAACAGGTGAATAGATGAATGATGGATGGACGGATGGATGGATCGATGGATGGATGGATGATGGATGGATGGATAGAAAGATGAACAGTTGGATGGGTGATGGAAAGATAGATGGAAGGATGGATGGACAGGTGACTGGATGGATGATAAAAAGATGGATGGATGATAGATGGATGGATGGATGGAGGGATGAATGATGTATGGAAGGATGATGGATGGATGGATGGAAAGACGAACAGGTGAGTGGATGGACGATGGAAGGATGGATGGATGGATGGATGGACGGATGGGTGATGGAGAGATGGATGGAAGGACCCACAGGTGAATGGGTAGATGATGGGAGAATGAATGGATGGATGGATGGATGGATGATGGATGGATGGATGGAAGGATGAACAGGTAAACAGATAGGTGATGGAAGGATGAATGGATGGGTGGATAGACAGTTGAATGGATGGATAGACGAGTGAATAGATGGATGAATGGGCAGATGGATGCATGGACAGATGGATGGATGATGGATGGATGGATGGATGGAAGGATGAACAGGTAAATAGATGATGGAAGGATGAATGGATGGATGGATGGACAGAGAGTGAACAGCACAGGGGCCCTTCTGCATCCCTTGCCACTCACCTGGATGTACAGGTCCACCAGCTCGCTCTGCCGCAGGAGGTAATAGATCTTCCCTGCTTGCAGCCAGGCATGAGCCTCCTTCTCTTTCTTCTGGAGGTCAATGAAAATCCCCAGACTTCGTTTGGTGTAGTCCAGAGCGGATTTGTAGGCCCTGGAATCAGACACAGGTGTCAGAACAAGGGCTCTCATCCTCCTGGAACCAGTCTGCCTCCTCCTGGGTCTGGTGACAGATGAATCTGGCATGTGGGGACTGGGAACGGCCCTCTTGTGTGTGCAGTTTCTGCCCTTCCCAGGCTGCTGGGAGGGCCAGGGTGAACACACACGGCGTGGAAAAGATGAAGGACATCCTTCTGAGGGAATCGAGCATCATGCTGCCCTGTGGCAGGAGGAGTGTGCTAGTCCATCTCCCCTCCTCCCAGACATGGCCGGTGTCTTCTGCAGACGCACCAGGAGCCGTTAGTGTTCAGAGGCTATCTGGGCCGATGGTTGTCAAGGTGTGCAGGCATCACAGTCACCCGGAGGCCTGTCCGAATAGCTTGCTGGCCCTGCCCCCAGAGCTTCTGGCTCCACAGGCCTGGGGCAGGCCCTAGAACTCCCACTCGGCACAAGCTCCTAGGTGACATGGATGCTGCTCTGCTGGTCCAGGGACCACACTTTGAGAAGCATGGTTCTAGCACACTGGCCCATTTTCCTTCTGTGAACCTGAGACCAAGACTGGAGCCAGTCTCCCGGGTCCCCATGGAATCTGGCTCCTTCCCTGCTCTCTCAGTAAGTCCGACACTCGAGGGGGTGTGACTGCAGCAATGTCACCGGGCTCTATGGGTGTGGTGGCCAGGGCCATGGTTACCCCACCAGGTCAGGATGCTCCGGGGAAGCCGAGTGGGCCACATATGGGACGTGAGACCTTGAAACCCTGCCCCAGGGAAGCAGGTGACACAACTGGCTGTCTTCTGTGGGAGAGAAGCCACAGGTGGCTGCTATGGTCACATTTAAGGGGACAGATGAAGGCCAGGAGTGAAGACTCGGGCAGGCAGAGGTCAGATGACAAAAGCCACCATAGTAGGAAGAACAGCCCAGAATGCACGTACTGCCTCTGCTGGGGTTGAGATGACCTTTGGGGAGGTGTGCAGGCAGGGATGGGAAGACGTGTCACCCAACAAGGGAGGCTCAGGCTGGGACTCATGGGCCATCAGCAGCCCTGGGACGACCCCAGGCCCACCAACTCAAAGCATCTGATGCCAAGGAACCAAATGATCCCAGGGAGAGGGGCTGCTGGGGCCCTGGGCCAGCTTCCCTCTGCCCCCCTCCCTGCCCTGCCCCCCCACCCCCTTTGCCCCCCTCCCCACCCCCAACACTGCAAAGCCAGCCCTCACCGCTCGGTGCCCAGGGACAGGTAGAGCTGACTGATGGTCTCCAGGAGCTGCCCCTCCAGCACCTTGTCGGCCACCTTGCGGGCCAGGGAGAGCTGGAGCTCGTGGTAGATGACACACTGGGCCTCGCTGGGCATGACGGCGCTGTAGAAGTAGCACAGCCGCTGGACGGCCCGCAGCTGGCCTGGGCAGAAGACAAAAAGGAAGACGTCAGCCTCCTAGCATCGAAGCGAGGCTGGCTGGGCTCGGAGGCCCCTGTGCTGTGCTTGCCTCTTTCACACCTCTGTGAGCCTGGGCCCCATAGGCAGGGAGCCTGAGCGCAGACCATGCACCCGTGCAAAGGCAGCTGCCGAGCACACCGTGACATGGGCACAGCTTGGTGCAGATGCTCATGGTAGAGCCCGGCCTTCTTTACAACCCTCAGGGCCGAGGTCCTGGCCAGGCTCAGCCCCTGCACCAGGTCATCTATTTCTGCTTCACAAAGCCCCTCTGGCCAGGACCAGGGCCGCCTTCAGCCTGAGCTGATGAGGCCAGGGGCACAAGTAGCCCCTGTCGCAGATGGAACCCTGAGAGAGCAAAGCCAAGCATCGTGTCTGCCACACCCGGCATCATGTTGGGGGAATGGGGTTCAAGGCTTGTTCCTGGTGTTCCCACACATGCTTCTCTCATGCAACCAGGCTCCAAACCCACAGGCTCACTGGCCTCTCCCAAAGCCAGGGCACTGGGAACAGTGGAAAGCTTCTGATTTTCTAGTGTCAGAAACATTCCAAAAATTAACACCAGAAACCAGGTACGCCGAATGGACATCTGTCACACATGTCACCCAACAAGAGCTGAATACACAGTCCTCTCGAGCGCCCACGAGACATTCCCCATGACAGACCACATGCCAGGCCACAAAACGAGCCTCAGTGAATGGAGGACTGAGACCAAAGCAGAGGTGTTCTTCAGCTGTACTGGCACGAAACTGGAAATCAACAGTGAAGCAAATGTGGGAAATTCAAAAATATGTGGAAATTACACACTCCTAAACAACCAGTGAGTCAAAGAAGAGACCATCAGGGAAACTGAAAATTAATTTGAGAAGAATACAAACAAATGCACAGCCCTGGCCAGCACGGTGGCTCACGCCTCTCATCCCAGCACTGTGGCTCACGCCTCTCATCCCAGCACTGTGGGAGGCCGAGGCGGGAGGATCACTGGAGTCCAGGAGTTTGAGACCAGCCTGGGAAACATGGTGAAACCCCGTCTCTATAAAAAATACAAAAATTAGGGCCAGGCGTGGTGATGCACGTCTGTAATCCCAGCTACTCAGGAGGCTGAGGCATGAGAATAGCTTGAACCTGGTAGAAGTTGCAGTGAGCCAAGATTGCACCACTGCACCCCAGCCTGGGCAATAGAGCAAAACTCTGTCTTTAAAAAAAAAAAAAAGCACAGCATATCAAAAATTCCAAGATGCAGCTAAGGCAGTGCTGAAAGGGAAATTTATAACTGTAAATGTCTACATTCAAAGAAAGAAGAAAAATCTCAAATCAAAAACCTAACCTTCCACCTTGAGAAACTAGAAAAAGAATGAACGAAACCCAAAGCGAACAAAAGGAAGAAAATAATAAACATGAGAGTGGAAATGGGAAGTAAAAATACAGAGAATGGAAAAACAAAAGAGATAATCAGCAGAACCAAAAGTGGGATTTTTGAAAATAATAACAAAATTGACAAATCTTTCACCAGACCAAGAAAAGAAAGACGGGACACAAATGACTAAAATCAGAGACTGAGCACCATGGCTCACGCCTGTCATCCTGGCGCTTTGTGAGGCGGAAGTGGAAGGATCGCTGAGGCCAGCATTCAAGACCAGCCTGGGGGAACATGATGAGACTTCATCTCTAATATAAACAAATAAATAAAAAATTAAAAACTCAAGTTTCTAAAATCAGAAATGAAAGAGGAAACCTTATTGCCGACCTGACAGAAATAAAAAGATTCCATGAAAACACCATGAACAATTGTACACCAACAAATCAGACCATCTAGACACAACAGCCAAGCTCCTAGAAAGACACAAACTACCGAAAGTGACTCAAAAATGACCCCGAGTAAGCATGTGGGGTATCAGCCCCGTCCTCAGTCTCCTCGACTGTTCAGCACAGGATGGGGAGACAGGGAAGCATGATCCCCGTTCCCTGGCCCACATTTCCAAGTCTGAATCTCCCAGCACCCCACGGAGGGCCTCGTAGGAGGAGATGCCACAGGCTATTGTGCCAGGAGCCACCGGAGGCTGCAGTGGGGGCTGGGGCGCTGGGTTCCTGGAGGGTCTCCTTCCAGTCAGAATGCCCCTGGGGAAGAAGCCTGGGTCTGAACCCCTTACCCCTTCTTGGGCAGATGTGTGGGACCGGGGCCCCATCACACGGTCCTTTCCAAAATCTCATCCCTCCTAGGGCCAGGAGTGGGTGCCAGGCCTATGTTGGGAAATGGGCAGATTTGGCCACAGCCCCTGGGGCTCTGGGCCAGGCCACAGGAGGCACCTCTGAGTGGTCTGACTACGCCATGACGTCCGGCTTCCTGGTGGAAGAAATTTATGCAGTGCTTCAGTCTCTGCCACTGAGA